TCAGGCCCAATGTTAGACATTTAAATAGTTTTAGCCTTTTTATATTTATAAACAATTCTTCAAAGTATAAATCTAACTGTGTATATGTATGTGATGACTGGTCCGATTACCTCCTTAAGATAAAGTTCTAGAAGTACAAATGCTAAGTTAAAAAGTTATGTACATTTTAACCTTTGGTAAATTTTGCCAAATAGTCCTCTAGAAGGATCATACTAATTTACATAACCACCAAGAATACGTATTTCTTTCTAGCCTTTAAAAATGCAGTGTTTTTATCTGTTTAATAGTTCTGAAATATCCCTTGTTTTTGATAAAAACTGGTAGTTTGCTTCTTCTGTTTCATTCAGCCAATAGTCAGGAGGATAGAGGGAAGAAGAGTTATATATCAATTAAAAATGATAGAGAAATAGTCCCTGCATAATAAGACTTTAATGTAATTTTTGAAAGATGTAAGAACACTTTTTTATTAGTGTTCTTAGGATTAAATGTTAACTGAGTTTTATAGTCCTCACTATCTCAGTTCTTCTAATTTAAATAATTTGTAAGTTAAACTTGCAGGCAAGAATAAAAAAAGTATAGAAAAGTCAGCCAGATGATTCTGCAGAACTGTTTTGCAGAAAGTGCTGCTCAGCTCTTACTTGTACTTTCCAGCTTCTAGACCTTGTGTCAAAGAAGCACGGTAAGAAGGGTCCAGATTTCTAGGGAATCCAACCTGTCACCTATGTTTTACAGCCCTGGAGCTAAGAAGAATTTTTACATTTTTTTAAGTGATTGAAAAAATGCTACGTGGACCATGAAAATTTCAAGAAATTAAAATTTCAGTTCATGGGTAATTTATTGGAGCATAGTTAGGTTTATTTGTTTACACATTTTTTTCTGGCTGCTTTGGCCCCATAATGGCAGAGCTGAGCAGTGGCAACAGAGACTGTGTGGCCTGTAAAACTAAAAATATTTTTGTTACGACCTGGCCTGGGTATGTGGGGAAGAGAAGCAATAGGAATGAATGCGATGTCTAGTGTTTCAGGTTTCCTGAGTGGTTTAAAACACTATAGCAGAATTTCGTACTGCTTGACAGTGGAAAAGGTATGGAACTGGTTGTCATAGAAACAGCTGAGCCAATCACATTCTTCTCTCAGAAACTGGAGGACAAATGAGGACATTGTACAGAGAATTAAATGATCTTTCCAAACAGGTTAACTTGTACCCAGATGGATAGTTTGGTTTGGTGCAAAAAAAAGTTTTCCTTTGGGAGTTTATTTACTCATTTAATGCCTGTTTGTTATGCTTTTACCATGTACCCAGTCCTGTCTTCTTGTTGTTGTTGTTGGCTTTTGTTTTTTGAAACAAGTTCTCATTATGTAGTTCAGGCTGGCCTTGAACTCACTATGTAGTCCAGGCTGGCCTTGAACTCACTATGTAGTCCAGGTTGACCTCAAACTCACAGCGATCCTCCGATTACAGGCATGAACCACTACACCCAGCAACAAAGAAATCTGTTACTGGTTGTGATCAGTTAGTTGTAAATACCACTGTACTCAGACCAGCTCCAGCCCTGTCCTAAGTTCTGGAGTACCAAGCTTGGCATCTAACGTTTGTGGTGTTATAAACTACTGGCAATGCCTCTTGGAGACTTGTGTGTGTGGCATGAAGGACTACTAGAAATGAACGAAATCTTTCTGTAGATGAGAAGTCTGGGTTTCCAGGGGCTTGCTTTGATGTCTTGAAGCTGTTAGACCTGGAGTCATGGCAGGAGCCAGGTTCTTAGTTGCCTGCCTGGTGCTCTTCCCTGTGGCAAAGACCAGAGACTCTTCAGCTTTATTGTCCTGAGGACCTGTGTATCTCTGAGCTCTCTACCACTGTGACAAAATACCCAACATGGGCAACTTAGGAAGTAAAGGATGTTTATTTAGGTTACTGTTTTGCAGGTTCACATCCAAGAGTGAGTGTATCCCCATGGTTTGCATCTCTACTGATGAGAGCATGCATAGGAGAAAAATGGTCACAACTGAAACCTCAAACTGGGTCAGAGAGAGAGAGAGAGAGAGAGAGAGAGAGAGAGAGGGGAGAAGCCTGGTCCCATGTGCTTCTTGGGGGTCTGGCCCCAGTGACCCAAAGACTTCCCACTAGACCACACCTCTCAAAGGTCCACCCAGAGGACCAAGGCTTTACATAGAGATCTTTGGGGAGATTCACCCAAGCACAGCAGTACTCTTGAAAATCTCCCCAGCAATGTGCAAATGCACAGCTACACAGACAAGTTTGTACATTTTTCTAGGCTTCTGTGAAATTCTAAACACCCATGGCATAGATAGAATTTCTGATTTAAGGATAAGAATAAATTATTGTGTTCACCCGGTGGATGTCAATGGGGGAGCCTGCTATGATCCAGCCAACTGTTCTTATCAAGCATCTGCTGTTGGGAGATTTCCAGCAAGGTTTTCGTAGCGGATCTGAAGCTTACTCAGTAATCTCAGAGAGGGTTGGTCAGTGCCACTTGCTCACTAGATGGATACTGGACTGGGTTTTCAGAGCTTGTGAGGCCAAGCCATTTACTTTTTAAGTTAGTGTTTTAGAGTTGTCTATACAAATAGACTACATACCAGAATGTATCCTCTGACAAAGGAGCTTGTTGTAGTAAAATGGTCCCCGCTGCTACGAAGGTCTTGCTTCGTATGTCTGAGTACAATTGCCCAAATATATCCCTGGAATAAATTGCTACAATGTGTATGCTGATTAGAATATATTTATTATTGAAAGGCATTTTTGGACAGATATTGCTAAGTACTATCCCATAGAACTTTACCAATTTATTCTTTGTCATTACTTGAGAAAATGTTTTTACACATCCCTTCTGGTATTTTTTTCTTAAAAATTCTTTTTTTTTTCTTTACTAATTTAATAGGTTAAAACTTTTAATTTGAAATATTTGTGATTATTTAGTTTTTTAAATGAGGTTTTGACTATGGGTGTTCCTTTATGAGTTACCTGTTTGCTTATTTTTTTAAATATGAAGTTTGTTTTTGCACACCAGTCAGCATGACTTAGAAGATGCCTTAGTTCCTTTTGTAGAAAAATGAGCTATGTGTAAAGAATGAATTCACTCAGCTGAAACACTTTTTTTTTCAGTAGGTCTTGTTGACCAGACAGCCTGGAAATTCCCCAGAGCCGGTATTGTTATTAAGGCAGGTGGACTGTCTAACTGCCTTTTCCACACTGGGTTTTCTGAGTAACTGTCTCTGTGGTTCCACTGACCTCTATTGCCATGCCAGAGAGTGAGTGGGGATTGAGTGGGATCCTGGTGTCCACTGGGATACTTCAAGACTTCTCCTATGAGCCCAGGAGCGATGGGAATAATGCCTGTGTAAGTCCGTGAACCATAGCCACGGTGGATTGGCTGTGTTCAAGGACCATCTCCTCTGTTTTCATTATTTCACTATGTTGGCACACACCACAAAAATATCTCTTAAACATTTTAATTTAAAGCAGCTTTTGTTATTTTTGGTGTATTAAGTTTAACTTGAAATTTTGCATTGTGATTGTCTCTTCATAACATATCGTTTGGGGGCTACCAGGAAAAGTGAGTGTGAGTATGTGTGTGTCTGTCTATGGAAGAACAAATGTGACAGCGAAGTGTAAAGGGGTGTAATGCAGCATGGATAACCTTAGATTGGTGTGGACAGGTATTTAGAAAACAAGCACTTTTAGAAAAAACTCAGAGGGTATACTTCTGTGACAATGAAAATTCTCAGGTCGATGCTTATGATGATTACATGAAGTAGCTGCAGAGTGCCTCCAGCGTGGTCTCTGTCACAGTAAGTGTTCTTTGGATGACGGTGATTACACACTCAAGTGTAATGATAGCATTTTTCATTCTGTAATTATTTATTTCTGGTCTCCTGTATGCCAGGCTCTTGTTGAAGTGTTGAAAGCACTGCAGTGAGTTGGGGAGCCAACACTTGATAAGGGAGAGAGTCACCAGAGATTAGAAAGGCAGCAGAGCTGTGAGGAAGAGTAGAGCTGGAGGTGCTGTTGGGCAGAGAAGGGTTTGCAGTTTATGTAGGCTGGGTGGGGAAGGCACTGATGAATAGAGGATATGCAGACCTGGTTTAAGGTCGTCTTTACTGCAAGTAAGTGACTTTGAAAGGAAACTTATTTAACTTTTGGTCCTTGATTTCCACATGTTGAAAGGAGAAATAATAGTAAACACACTTAACAGGGTTAAATGAGGCCTTATGTAAAGCATGTAGCATCATGCTAGATAAGTGCCTACCAGAGGGAAGTGCTGTTAGAGGATCTCAGGGAAGGACCAAGCAGGGATGATGAGGGAGGCTTCCTGCAAAAGTAGACTGGATATGATTCCTGAAAGAGGAGAGCCAGGTTTCTATCTTTTCTTGAAGGACACTGATACTTCAGAGTGGGTTCCATTTCACCTTCGTCCTGACGGATCCTCTGGATGGAGCTGGTGTTAAGGGTTAGCTGAGTTTACAGAAGCATTGTGTCCTGTCACTCATGTGGCTAGCTCACAATGTGTGCTTATTATTTACTGAGGCCCCTGTCAAGCCAGCTGGAAGGGGGCCCACTGAACTGCAGCTCAGTGAGGCCAGCCCAGCGCTGGACTGGCAGAGCCAGCCAGAAAGCTCAAGGGATCTGGGTGCTGCTGGGCTGTTGCAAGCTCCATTTACCACTCTGTCACACTTTGTGTTACAGGTTGTCACTTGTTCTTCACATATTTGCAAAACATTTGGAGATCAACAAATGTATTATCTATATGTTTAGGGATAAAATAAGCCCAAATAGAAAAATAATGGGAATTACATAGTTTTGAGTTTCAGTTTTCACCTTGTATTTTTCTTTTCTCTGTCACTCTGTTTCTCTGCAATGTTTTATTATAGAGTACTTGTATATAATAAAGAGAATTTTTTGTTTTAAAAGTTGAAAATGAAAACATTTTGAAGAACTCTTGTTTAAACAACAGTTCTTGTTCTTTTTCTATTCCTAAGGTATATTATCCGAATTTGGGATGGATGTGCATTGATGCCACTGATCCAGAGAAGGGGAACTGGCTTCGATATGTGAATTGGGCTTGCTCGGGAGAAGAACAAAACTTATTTCCCCTGGAAATCAACAGAGCCATTTACTATAAAACTTTAAAGGTAACAGTGTTGGAATTAATCTACTACTAGTTATTCTGCATGCATCTTCTAAATGTAGTCCTTAGTTGTGACTGACAATAACTACTTTGGAGACCTTGAGAGGATTATAGTTGAAGTGGTTCATCCACACTCAACGTTCTGTGTTAAATATATGCTTACCACTGCTTTGTGTACGGCAGGAAACTAAAGTACAAAGATCATGTTGGCTAATTACATACTGCATCTTTCTAGATACTGTTGATTAAGCATGTGGCAGCTGCACTGGGCACTGACTGTCAGGTTTATCCCCTCTAAGAAACTAGCAATAGCTATGGTGGTATTGTGCTAACTGAAAACACACTCACAGTCTGCAGTGTAAACAACACCATGGGTTAGCTTTTCCTTTCCTTCAGTTTTATTCAGAATAGAAACTAAACAGAACATGTTTTTTTTTTTTTTCTTCTGCCAAATTTTTATATGGAGACATTAATTGCTGAGATGAAAAGAAGAGGAAAGCCATGTTTAGGACTGGTGGGGAGGCATTGAGTACATTCACGAAGTTAGTGCAAGGAAGTGCTGGGTGTTGCTGGGTTTCAGCATTGGAGCAGCCTGCATTTCTGTTCTTGTCTTCACCAGTCTTGTTCTCCAGGAAGACAGGTCTGCACAATGTTTGGAAATGCCCTAGGTGGGATCTTGAGGCTGTAAAGATAGGTGGTTACTTTTTTGGAATAGACACCTTTGCCAGAATACCATAAGGCAAATATATCTTTACTCACTTACTTCCATTACATAGGTCAGAGATTGGGGGACAGCCCAGGGGAAAAAAGTGAAAACTCTTGTTGAGCAAGCATGGAAGGTAGTGGTTGTGGCCAGCTTTGCAATGTGCTGAGTCTTGTCAGTGTGGTGGCACCAGCCTTTGGAAGTTTAGCTACATATGGCTGTTTACTTTTCCTGTGCTGCATTTTTTCCTGACATTGTCACCCAGTTGTACTATTACCTCATTTATACCCATGTTTTGCTTCCAGTCCTGGAGGAATTCTTTGTTTTTCAGTGATACTTTTTCATTTATAACTTCGAAAGCTTTGTTTTCTAGTTTCTTTCCACAGGATTACAGTACTACCTCTTTCTACTAAGTATCACTATATAATCTTGTTACACTGGATTTGATATTGGATTCAAAGTGTGATTCAAGAATTCATTGTCTTTGTCACATCTAAAATGAGAGACATCTGGTTGATTTTGCAAGGTAGAATCCTGGTGGAGATGAAATACTTGCCAGGGGATGAATATGAGGCAGTTAAGGCAGTAGAAATGAGGTTCTTCAGGAGCCCTGGCCCCAGGAAATAAAAGACAATGCTTCAAGTTAAATACATGTTGCTCGCTGACAGCTGATTTGCAGGAGTGTGGAGAAACCACGTAGAGTGATGGGAAAGTGAACTCTGAGGCCACATGCATTGGTTAAATCCTGCTCACTGTGTGACCCACAGCATGTTGGGGTGACTTCCTTAGCTCTGTGACCTTAGCAAGTCCTTTCCATGTGCTTCAGTAAGATACAAGTCGTTTTAGTGTTGACCTCATAGAGCTGTTGTGATGAGCACATAAGTGCGTAGAGTAAGTGCTGATAAATGCCAGCAGTCCCTGTTGGCCAGCTGGTATGATCAGGAGTGGAGACTTTGGAGCAGAATACTTGGTGAGTGAGTGTTGGCTTTTAGGTGTGTGGCATGCAAAGTTCCTCCATCTTTCTGTTTTTTCATGTATAAGGTGGAGAAAGTAGGACAGGTCGAGTGTCCCTTATCTGACATGCCTGGGACCAGGCATGTTTCAGATTGTAGTTTGGGAATATATACATATAAATGATATTTTAGGGATGAGACCTAAATCTAAACATTAAATTTACTTATGTTTCACCTTATTCATATGAACAGAGGCAAATTTAAGCAGTATTTTTAAAAAAAATTTATTTATTTATTGGTTTTTTGAGGCAGGGTCTCCCTTTGTAGTTCAGGCTGGCCCTGAACTCACTATGTAGCCCAGGCTGGCCTTGAACTAGCAATAATCTTCCTGCCTTAGCTTCCCAAGTGCTGGGATCACAGGGATGCGCTACCACTCCCAGCTTAAAGCGGTATTTTTAGTGTGCCTGACTTTTGAGTGTGAGCTGTCACATGAGGTCACATGTGGCATTTTCTACTTGTGGCATCATGTCAGCACTCAAAAAGTATCAAATTTTGTAGCATATCAGGTTTTGGATGTTTGAATTACTGATACTGAGTCTGTAAAACTAATTCATATAGTTGTTAAGATTAAACAAACCAATGTGTAGTAGCTTAGTTCAAAGTGGGAGATGGCTGTACTATTATTTTTACCTGTCTTTGTCCCAAATAACTCAGTTTTGATCTTTGTAGACTTCCCCCAGTGCTGACCTTGGATATTTACCCAAATATGGATGAGGCCTTTTTAGATTCCTTACTGCTGAACATCTAACTGTATTCTTTTCGATTAAGCATTCTGTGGGGTGGATTTTGTAAATGAATTAACATGTGATGTTCTCACGGCTTTGTAGTGCTGTCACAACTTATTCTATCTAGGTAATTGGGAAATTTTAACATTAGATTTGTTTGCACTATGATTGAAAAGTATTTTAAATTCCAAAAAGTGAACTGTTAAGCCTGCCTATCCATTCATTCATCTATTCATTAGTTTGACAGATACTTATTGAGTATACCAATATGTAAACAGGACAGACAAGGTCTCCAGGCTCATGGAACTTACTTTATTGGGGAGGAGGCATGTAAAAAACAAGTAAATAGGTTAACAAAATTATTGCAGAGAGCAGTAAGTGCTCTGAAAATAATACAATGCTATAGAAAGTGCCTAGGTGGGAGGAGGGCTAGGAGGAAAGTCAAGGACAGCTTTTCTTAGAAAAGACATTTGATTTTACCCCCTCCCCCCTTTGTTTGGAAGGAGCCAGCCATATAAAGTTCTGGCAAAAGAGCAGTACAGGAGGAGGGGCCCCTAGAAACAAGAGCCTTGAAGTTGACCTGGCCCGGTAAAATGCAGGTTTATAGGTACATACTAATATGTAGAGAAGACAATGTGCTTGGTTTTCTAAAGGCTATCTGAACCCAAAGGAAAATTTGGAAGGGGTTTAAGTCTTTTTCTTGTTTTTATTTGTTCTTTGACATTAAAATACAATATAGTCACAAACAACTATAGGTTGTATCCTATAGTTTACTTCTATAGGTGGTAGACTTACAAGGTATATCAACCATTGACCTTGTAGCCAGCTTAGTTCTTGTGAGTATACGCTATATTTGTACAAGGACGGAATTGCCCAATGACAAATTTCTCAGAATATATCTCATCTTTAAGAAACTCATGATTATGTGAAAAAAGAGGTTGTTTTTGACTTTATTTTTTAAAATGTGAATTCGTACTTCCTTTGTTTAACAACATGGGTTTTCTTTTCTTCCAAAATTTGGCACAAAAAATCTTGAAAATGTTAAGGTGTGCAAAAGAAAAATCAGTGCAGTACAGAAGAAAGTAATCCATGATTTAAGAAAATATTATTTTCCTTCTAATAAGGGAATCTAATCTGTGTAGTTGTTTAAAGTAAATTTGGAAAATATATAATGCCATAGTATAATAGCATCTCAGTTACTAACAATTTTGAAAGCTATTCAGTAGGGAACAAATCAGATAATCTAGCACTTTGCCAACCCATTAGGTTTTTAAAAATTTTAGATTAATCAAACAAACAGATTCTCGTATATTGCTATACTGTTGTTTGCAACAACAAAAGAGTAACTTGGGGCACAAATGCCTTCCTACTGTAGAGTTTGTGCAAATGGTTCACTCATCAGGTTGCTGGTATGGTTAGTACCTGGCTGGTGGCCACAGTGGAGAAAACATGGAAAGATGAGCTCTTATTCTTGGAAGTCTCCAGAAAATGTCTGGTGGTGGCTTCTAGCCAGCATTCTGGTTGTGCTGTTTGAGTGAGGAATATGTTAAGAACACATTTGTCTTTATGCCTTCCCATATTTTTTACTTTGGTTTGTTTTATTTTTATTTTGAGACAGGATCTTGCTTAGTTGTCCAACTTGGGCTCAAATTTGCAATCCTCCTGCCTCGGTCTCCCAGATGCTGGGATTACAGATGAGTGCCGCAATGCTTGGCTTGGTTGGTTGGTTATTTATTTATTTAAAGACTTTACATATAGAGTCCTATTTAGACTAGTTTTCTGAAATACTTTTTGATACCATGATTTTATAAATAACAAAAAGAAATGAACTGTTTGGCATTGAAATAATCTACTTTTGAAGAGTAAACAAAGCAGCTTAGCTCATCAGAGTTAAGGCATTTATGATAGCTATTTTGACTCATTAATATTTCTTTATTTTGTACTACTGGGGAGTGAACCCAGGGCCTTCACACTGAGCTATATTCCTGGCCCTTTTTATCGTTTTTATTTTGCAACGGGGTCTCTCTGCAGTAAGTTGCTAAGTTGCCCAGGTGGGGCTCGAACTTGCAATCCTCTTGCCTTAGCCTCTCACACTGTTGGGATTATAGGAGTGTGCTGCCATGTCCAGCTAAAATTTTTTTATTAAATTAAGTGTTTTAGGGGAGGTTTAACTGATTCAAGAAAGGAAATAATACATTGGTTCAAAGATTATAAAATGACGCATTTTGGAGGAAGCACAAACTTTATTTTTAAAGTTCTTTATTTTAAAGAATTTAGCCTATTCTGAAATTTGAACTATTAACACAGTTCTACAGAGAATGACTTTCAAGGGCTTTATCTAAAGTAAAAGGTACGTTGAAGTGAGGAATGATTTTTGTTTCTATACTGATCTTAGACGGTAATTTCTCTCCTGTTCAAAAAAAGAAGAAAACCAGGATGATCCTCTTATATAAGCATAATGCAGTGATCAAAATCAGGAAGCTAGCACTGATGCTTTTCCCTATAGGGAAAGAATACTGCTGTAATTCACTTGTATGTCTTATCAGTCTCCTTGGCTTGGACA